ATCCTGCTGGAAGCTGTCGGAGCTGCTCGAGCTGCCGAAGGCGCTGGCCTCGCTATCGTTCACGTCGATGATGTGAGGTGCTGCTGCTGCTGCTGGAGCCGCTGGAGCAGGAGCCGCTGGAGCAGGCGCCTGCGGAGCCGCTGGAGCAGCGGCCTCGTCCTCCCAGCGGCCACCCTGCTTCGGGCACTCGCCCCGAGCGATCCTCTGCATGTTCCTGACGCCCCAGCAGTTGCGGTAGCCAGGGCATGGCGTGCGCAAGCCAACCCGACCACCACCACAAATAGGCCACGCCGACTGCACGTACCTCCCACACAACGCGCACATCAGAAGACTGCGATACTTCCGAATGATGTGGGACGGGTGCGTGTCGAAGAACAACGGGTGGTCTGCTGCACCCCCTTGCCAGATCCGCAATTCTGCCACCATGTCGTGAAGATGAATCACGGTCGTCCGCACTTGGTCGAGGCCGACGGGGTAGGCGTGGCCTCCAGGGTGGACCTTGAAGTCGTAGAAGATTCCCTCGCCGTCGGCGAGGATGTGGCTGATGTTCTGAGGCTGCGGCAACTGTGGTGGCACCTGTGGTTGTGGCTGCTGATCCGCCACTGGCTGAGCGTGTGGCTGCTGATCCCGCTGGGCCGATCCCGCTGCCCTGCGCCTGAGCTGGTCGAACATGCTGCCATCGCCATTGCGCGGGGAGCGAGACTGAGAGCGGGGGCGATGCGCCATCTTGGGCGCTTCGGCCAACGAAATCACTGGTAGATGCAAATGCTTGAGCCCAAACTTCACGGTGGGAACGAGAGGCTGAGGTCTGGCCCAGGCCGGCCTGGCTGAGGTCTGGAGGTCTTGCCCCTCTCACCTCTCACCCCCTTCTCACTGATAGGGGGCCGACGGAGGGCAGTGAAGGGGAGAGGGGATCTGGATAACCATTGTTCCCCAAACAGTGCCTGCCCTTATTGGGTTCATAACCACGTAGATTACATCACATTGATAGCACCACGTAGATTGCACCGCATTGCACCGCATAGGTTGCACCACATAGATTGCCCAAACACACTGTTTGGTCCACGCTGGCTAACATGTATTTTTTCCAGTGAGCAACTCGCACCACTCCGAAACGATTTGTAGATGTGCGAAGACGGCGTGGGCGCGGCTGGGCAGCTGCTAGACCTGACTCCTCCTCCTCCTCCTCCTCCTCCTCCTCGTCGTCCTCCTCCTCCTCCCCTCCCCGTCAGAACGCAAGCCGCCAGGTTGCGCTGCGCGCGCGCGGTTTGCACCGAAGGCCAGCTAAATGTCCGAGCAGGCCGACCGAGCGAAGTATAAGTCTTATGAAGTCGGGCGGCCCGCTCGGAGAGAGATAGAGGTAAATCACCACGCGCACAGGCGGATTCCACAGCGACGAGGCCGCCTCTGACGAGGCCAACCTAGGGAGATGACAACCGCTCAACGCAACCTGAGCCCGAAAAGGTCTACATGTCTGGCAAAGGGCGGAGCCAACGAGTCGATCAACGCACCCGTTCCGTGTCTGTATCCAAAAAAACCTCGCCACCGAAAAACTAGCCGAGCTAAAGCCAGGATTACTGCGATGCCCATTTCAGCGATACAAATGTTTTGCACCCTTGAACTCCTCAGGCGCCCCCTTTGTGGTGGTAGCACCCTTCTTCACCGCCTGCTTCGACTGGTTGAGAGTCACCTGGTCAGTCATCACGGCACGGGTGAGGATGGTGTCGGTAAACCCGTGGAAGCCTTCGAAGGGCACCAGGGAGTGGATCGTGACAGGGATGTGCACTGTCATTGTCTTCCCCATGTGCGAGTATGTGTAATGCATCGACGTCGTCTCCTTCTTGTGGTTCAGGTTGACAGTCGGCGGCTCCAGCGTCTTGGATCCGTCGGTCAGGGTCTTCTCCTTGGGCTGCTTGACATTCACCATCCAGGCAGGGCAAAACCCCAGCTGCGAATGGAAAGTGTCGACGCCCTCCTTCGTGATGTAGAAGTCAATGCCGAAGGCGGAGCACACGTGGAGCGCGTCCTTCGCCAACGCGCGGGCGACTGTCCCGTAGAAGTGCAAGCAGATGGACGGCGTAATCTGCATGGGCGCGACGCCAGTGCGGACCCGAGCCAAACCCCTACCACTCCCAAACAACCAACAACGTCTAACGATATAGTCACGTCCGTTTTTGGTTTTCAAAAAACACCAACATATGACTGGTTGCGCTGATGGTTGATTTGGTTGGGCAGAGGCTTAGCTGGGTCGTTGCATCGGTCGACCCCCAGCCTCCGTGGCCACGAGCTCTGGTTTCTCCTTGCTGTCGGGCTCGCCCAGCTTGGCCTTGATGAGGTCCAAGCCCGTGTCCGCGAAGTCCCCCCAGACCTCGGCGGCACCCGCGGCAGGTGCCTTATCTGGCTTGAATTCGTTCGACGTCTTCTTGCCCAGTTTCCGCTTCGTCGGCGATTTCACATCGACTGACGGAAGCTTGCTCATCTTGATCGTGTCGTAAATGAAAGCCTCCAGGTGCTTCATGAAGGACGCCAAGACGGGGGCGCCCACCTCGGAGCAAGCCACATGTGAAGCGATGGCTGTCAACGTCATCTCGATCTCCACCTTCGCCATGGCGTGCGACGTCGAGCCCGTCGTCTTGCCACCGCTCGCTGCCGTCGAGGAGCCCGCTGCGGGATCGGCAACGGTCTTGGCCTTCGGAGTCGTAGCCTCCCCCTCCGCCTCCTTCTTCGCCTGGCCCTTCGGCGCCTCCGTCGCCTGGTCCTTCGGCACCTCCGCCTCCGCAACCGTCGTCTTCGCCTGCTCCTCATCGGGCTGGGCGGGGGAGCTGCCGCACGAGTCTGAGAGCGGCAGCGACGACGGGGCGTCGGCGTCATTGCCGAACCAGGCCGCCTGGTCCTTAACCACCACCATGGCCTCGAGCTTCTCGCGCAACTGGTCGGGGTCGATCATCGCGGCGTTGATGACGACGCTCCACATGGCGACCCACCTATCGTCTTGCACGGCCAAGTCGCGCTCCTTGATCATGCTGATGTTGTCGTAAAGGGCCTGCATGGCGCTCGGCGAGGCAATGCAGCCGAGGTTCGCGAGCATGCCGATCACGTAGGAAGCCCGAAGCCCGAAGAAGCGGCGCACATGAGCTTTGGTATCGAAAAGGCCCACCGTGAGATGGGAGATATTCGAGTCGTCGGCCTCCTTCTCGACGATCGGCAGCAAGCGCGTGCCGAACTCCGTCCACCTGTGCGAGAACGTATCCTTGAGCACCCTGCGCGCGCACTCGAGGAACGATACGTGGGTCCAGGCCACGGGAGCGGCCGCGGCATCGCCCTTGGGCGTCACGTCCTCCACGTGCTGCTGGTAGAGCTTCATCGATACGTTCAAGTAAGCTGGCTGCACCAAAATATCAGGCATCTTCGTCTGGCGAACGATTGCAAACATGCCGAGCACGAACTTCTCATCGCCGACGAACTGGCTCAACGCGTCGTTGACGGCTTGAACGTTACCGACCGAGGGGCCAGCAAAAGAGCTCGCGGCACCAGCATCGGCATCGCCATGAGCAATCTCGCACTCCTTGACCATGAGGTCCCCCCTGTGAGCGCGGATGCTGTCATCCCTGAAGATCTTCCGAACCTTCGACCAGTCGGTGTACATCTCCCCCCTGATGGTCACGGCACCTTCGAAACAGAAAATGAAGCCGAACTTGAAGAGCTCGCGGATCACCTCCGTGTTGTACCGCGCAATCGGCAAGTGCTGCAGCGGCTGGCAGATAGCGTTGACCAAGTCGTCGAAGAACAGCGTGTTCCTCGAAGTGTTAGGGCTGTCGGCGGATACCGTATCGTGGATCTCCTCAGCTGGCACGTTCAGGACGAGAGCTTCATCCTGGGTGCCTTTCTTGGGCTTCTTCATAGGGGGTGCCGCCTTGGCTTTCACGTTGGACCGCTTCCCCTGCTTCTTTTTCAGGAACACCTGGGACGTGCTCATTGGCGCCCTGAGGTTCTTGATCTTGTTCAAGTCGCTCTCGCGCTGGAACACCCACGAGCCGTCGGCACCCTCCATCGGAGCAACCATCATGAGGGCTTCCATCAACGCTAACTCTAAGACGTGCTGTTCCACGGCGTCGTTGAAGTCCATGATGCGAAGGAACAGGGTGTTGCATACTTTGGCCACGAGCTTGTTGGTGATTCCCCTGTCGAGGAACTCGCACCGCTGCTCCATCTCCTCCTTCCACGGGGTGTAGAGTTTGGCCGCATGCATCTTGTGGGTGAAGCTCTTGCAGTTGTCGTAGTGATCCCAGGTCTTGAACTGATCGAAATGGCTGAGCACGTAGCGCTCGTAGAGTTTCTCGTAGCGGTAGTCTCCGCTCTTAGGACACGATGCCACCGTTATGCGCTCAGCCTGGAAGCGGCAATTGCGACAGAAACAAAATAAACTCAACGTGGAAATGAAACGTGCACCAACGACAGCCCACAAAGGCCGTACCTGGAGAAACACTGCGATGCGTCGTGACAACGCGTCGTTGTTTTTCGTTTAGCAGTCGAGCTCTCTTCAACCAGACACTCCATGAGCGGCTGATCTGCTGGGAAAAAGGAACTTGAAATAAAAAGGGAAATCCGAAGAATCCCTTTTTTATCAAGTGCGAGATTAGCGGTAAAGTGCGGAGTGCACTCAGGATCGCACGTGTTTTTCGTTTAGGTTCATGTGTTCGAAAAGTCCTCCTCCTCCTCCTCCTCCTCCTCCTCCTCCTCTTCCCTCCACCCCGCCCCATGTCCCGAGCCTGTGGCAGGGCCATCATGTCGTCGTCGTCGTCGTCGTCCTCGACGTCTCCGTCTCCAGGGTCGGCGGCACTGGCTGTAAGGCCTTTCCAGGTGTATTCTTCCTCCTCCACTCCCTCTTCCTCATACACTCTCTCCTCATCCTCATCATCTTCCTCTTCTTGCCATTCTTCCTCAATCCTCACTCCTCGTCATCTCTTGTCCTTCAGTACTTTGACAAAAGTCTCGGCGGCCTTTTTGTGAGCGGCCCACGTCTTCTCGGCCTCGTCCACAAGCTCGAACAGCTCCACGAATGTGGCATCGGACCCGTTGTGAAACTTGTTGTGCATCTTTTTCACTGCGCGCTGGATTTCCTTGGGACAGTCGCGACGAAACACCATGATGTTGGACATGCCATCCCTGATGATGTCCTGGATGTAGACGTTGGTCGTGTCGATGTCCGCGGCAACCTGGCAGAGTTTTTATAGTATTTGAAATGCTGGCCTTATTAAAATCATCAAAATCATGGTATGATATCTTAGTTCAGACCAACCTCACATAACAATTGATCAGACTGAACGATATCAGAAGTTCAGGATCCACGTCTGAAGGACATCAAGAGTTCAGGATCCAATCCTGAAGAGCATATGGTGTTCAGGATCCAATCCTGAAGGACGTCAGGATTTCAGGATCCACTCCTGAAGGACCTCAGGATTTCAGGATCCACTCCTGAAGGACCTCAGGATTTCAGGATCCAATCCTGAAGGACCTCAGGATTTCAGGATCTAATCCTGAAGGACCTCAGGATTTCAGGATCCAATCCTGAAGGACCTCAGGATTTCAGGATCCAATCCTGAAGGACCTCAGGAGTTCAGGATCCAATCCTGAAGGACATCAGGATTTCAGGATCCCATCCTGAAGGACATAATGATTTCAGGATGTGGTCCTGAAGGACATCATGGTTTCAGGAGCTGATCCTGAAGGACAAGGGGGGCTCGCGCGCCCCTCATCTTCCTACACCGCTTACCCCTCTTGCTTTTTTTTCCCCACCCACCCTCATCCTCCTCCTTCTCCTCCTCCCCGCATCTTCCTCGTCGTCCTTCTTCTCGCTACTCGATCCTCCTCCTCCTCCTCCTCCTCCTCCTTCTCCTCCTCTTCCTCCTCCTCTACGTTCTCCTCCCGTAGCAATGTTGGCTCAAGGTGGGTAGGGAGTCACTCCTGAAAATCACATTTTGGCTCAAGGACAACCTTGCACGCCTCGCATAAAGTCGCTCCCGCGATCATCAAGTAATCGCCATCAGTGCAGCTCGCACCCGTCTCCACTGCGATGGGCTGCCCGCGCATCTCGGAGAAGAGGCCCTTATCCATGAGAGTGTTGGCGTATTCCTTGACAATATGGTACTGCTTCCGCGGGTTGACATCGGGGCATCTCTTGAGCAAGAGGGTGTACTTCCCGTCGGCGCCCGTCCTCATGCCCAAGACTTGGAGAGTAGAGTGGCGCTCGGTGCAATACGTCACCAGCAACTCCTTCCACAACCTCGAACCAGTGAGACCCTCGAAGGCCGTCTCGCAGGTCGCATCGACGCCGAAGTATTTGTCCCAGAACTGGGGGGTGATGGTAGCTGGAGCGGGCATGGCTGGCAAGTCAGTCCGCGAGTGCTCGACGAGATCGAATCACTGATACTGCGATCGCTGTAAGTCAGTTGGCGCCAATGCTTGAGCTAAAACCTATCGTGGACCCAGGGGCGACCGAGCCATAGCTCCGACTTATGACGAGGGGACTTGAGACTTACGCAGGGCCTGAGCCTGAGACTTTGTACTGTTTACCTTGGTGCCATACTTATGATGAGGGGACTTCGAACTGATGGCGGGGGGGCTTCTCTCCTGGTCATTCTCGCCTGGTCAGCTACACGACGGCTCTCCATGTCATGGCTATGTCTGGCCGCCACTGGAGGATAGAGGACGTTTCCTTTCCTTTCCTTTGTTTTTGTTGTCGTTTGTTGTTGTTTGTTGTCCTTGCCCCCCCCCCCCCCCTGCGCCAAACACAAGCAACCGCGCCTTTGGGGCCATTGGTTTGTTTTTCCAAGGCAGGGCGGGGGGCCAGGGGGCAGTTCAAGCATGCAACTCAGCCGTGCGAAGGTGGCACAGGCCACACATTCCCCTGGACTCCCCAGCTCGGAAAATCAATTGCGGCACCCTGCAAGAGAACACGCCTGCTGCGCGACCAGCGCACGCAGTCACGAGATTTGTGTTGCAGAGGCGGTGAAACTTCAGCAAGCAAACGCAGCATGTGAACAGCCCGCCGTCGGCACTCTTGCAAACGAAGCAATCCCCTATGGCATCATCCTTCCCCTCGCAGTCGGCCAAGCTGTGGGCGGCGACCCCCCGCATCCTCTGAAGCCGGAGAACTGGATCAGGAACCCGACTCCGTTGATCAGTAGCCTCGCCGCGGCGGATGGGGCGAGGGCAAGAGCAATGATGACATAAATGTGGAGAATGAGGAGGATACGTATAAATTACAAACGATACGTCGTCGCCTTGACACGTTCCACGCCTGCAGCAGGGAACACGACAGGCCCCGCATAAGGCGTCCACTGCCGCCTAAGAGCGCCACCAACTTTCGGTGGGTAATCGACGCCGACCTGATACTTAGGCACTCCACGGTCGTCCAGCGGAAGAATTATCCCTAGCCTGTCCTCCGCTGGCGGCGACGTTTGCCAGTGCACGAAAACAGTTTCCACCCTGCCATCTACCTCCACTTGAACTAGGGCTAGATCCTTCCCTGCTCGGCGAAGGGCAGGCCCTTCACCATCGCGCAACCATCTGCGCCGTTCTTCTAAGATATCAACTGAAGCTGCGAATTCTGTTTTCCAAGTTTCGAAATTAGCAGCGTACCTAGCTTTCTGGCCACTGCCACTGGCGCTGGCTGCATCGAGACCGCCGAAAATGCCAGCATCGGCCTCGTCGTAACCATTATCAGCCATTGCTTTGGCAAACTTCTCAGTCACGTCCGCGTCCGTAATCTTAGCTGCAGTCGACTCGTCGTGGCCGTAAGCAGCAGCAACGGCAGGCTCAACGAGGGGGTCCAACTTATCTATGTCTGGCAGGGCGTCATCCCCGCCCTCGGCCGCCTTGATCGCATCTAGCTCAGCTGCCGCTTCGTCGATCACAAGGTCTCGAACATCTTTTTTTGCTTTGTTTATCTTCACTGCTAGATTGCTCGTCATCGTGAATAGGGGGTGTGTTTCTACGATGCGCATGTCTTCCGAAATACTGCAGTAGACGGCCTCGATGCTATCGCCTGGGTTGTCACAGAGGATCGGGGCATACTTCGCAAACAGATCCATCGTAAACATGCCCTCCGTGGCCTTCGGGTCGAGGGGTATCTCGACGCGGCCATCGGCCCCCTCCCTGCATTTCACGAAGAAGCACGTGTTCTTATACAGCGGACCTGGAACCCAGACTGCATCCCCATCCAGAGCATGGCGTATTCGGATACCTACGGGCTCGGAAACAGCCCAACGGACCCACGGACCCACGATCCCAAGGATCCAGCGGTCGGGGAAACCAAGAGGAGGGGGTAGGGGAAAGCTGTGGGAACCCACGGTTCTAAATCCCAGCACCAGTTTTCCCGCAGACGTCTCCGATCTCCCTGGCCTTGCGATGCCAAACCAGAGCATGCGAAGCAACCCAGTCCGCATGCTTCGGCAACAGCTGCGCCCCGATCTCTGCATCCCGCCGTGGTTTGGGCATGGGCACTGCCGCAGGGGTCACAAACCAATCCCCTTTGCCGTACAACTCCAAACCCTCGGCGTGAGTGCTCGTTGCCTCGTCCAGCAACCTGGCGCAACGATCAGATATCTCAGACCATTTCATATCCTTGCAACTGCGATGTCCGAGACCAACCTCGCGGCGAATGCCAATCCTGCTGGGCGCGCCGTTTCCCTCCTCCCCCTCATCCTGGATCCCCCTCGCCCAACTCCCCCGCCCCCCCCCCCCCCCCCCCACACACCAGGCATTGACCTCGCGCCTCGTCCTAGTCCTCCTCCCCCTTCCCTCCTCCAGTTCAGATGCCAGCGGGGTCCTGGCGTCAAGTAAGCCCAAGGAAATAGTAGGTGCCCTCTTACAAGCCATTTTCACTAACTTGTTTAAGGCCTCCATCTCCTGCGTGCTGCCAGTTAGCTTCATACAAACCAACCTTATCGGCACCCACAGCGAGCACCCTAAAGTTCCGTCCCTCGCGCACTCCTCAAGTTGCGGCCTGAATAAGCATTTCATTTTAATTGCGTTGATGTGGAGTTTGTTGTTGTCGGTGGTCAAGATATCTCTAGCGATCCCCTGTCTCTCCGAGCACGCCGTGCTCGGCTCGGCCTTCGCCAACACCAATAACAAAAGTGGATACTGACGCATCGGCCTGACGACTCTCCTCATAAAGTTTACGTAGTTACTCCAAGCAAACCCCTTGACAAAATGAACGCACGCAACATACATATCCAGTGGCATATGATCACACAAACTGGCAGTGATCGGCACAATGTCATCGATGAGTTTGCGTAAATCCAACAATATCGAATCGGCCTTTCCGAATATGAGCTGCGCGAAGCGCGTGACCTCGAGGGGGGGAACCTTTTTCATGAGAAAGTTGTGCATGTGGTCAAGCGGGGCTCTTGACAGCTGGCCTGCAAGAACCAGGAATCTGAACACTTTGTTGATTATTCCCTGCATGGTCTCGCGAGACCATCTCGTAAATGTTTTCTGGAATGCTTCTACAGCCTCCAGCTGCGGATCCTCTGCTAGCGGGCGCGCTTCGGCATCTTCAGCTTGTTCGTCAGAGCTGCTACTCCCAAGCTCTGGTGCTACTGGGGCTGGCTTTGGCTTCGGTTTCGCTTTCCCTCTTCCTCGCCCTTTTAAGCCGGCTTTTGCTTTTGCTTTTGCCTTTGCCTTGTTGCGTCTCTTAGTTGATTTCTGCGCGAGGGTCCGAAAGAAGACATCTTGAATCACATCCCAAGATATGCCCAGAACGCGTTTCTCACAGGCGCTCACCGACCCCCACCTCTCCGAAACGCAGGACGGAGGAACCTTTGAGAACTTGGAAGCCACTGCGTCGCCGTGAGCTGCCCTGCACCATTTCCAAAGGTCGGCGGCGAACTGCCTCCAAACATTCATCATCTTCGCAAGAGTTGCATAATATTTGAAACCGCACTGTTTGGTAGCAAATGCGTCCATGAGCTCTAAACCGTCATGCACCATGAGAGCGTAAACGTGGTGGTGGCAATCGCAATCGAAAGACCACGTGACAGCACTCCTACACTCTTTTGCACGCTTCAACCCCCTGCTGTACACCTCGTCTGAACCACCATCAGTGCACCCAACGCTCAAATGCAAAATCCTCTGCCCTCCCCAAGCGTCGAGCCTGTCGCACCACGCCGCCACGGGCTCGGCAGCAACGACGGCGGCAGAACCTGCGCGGACGGGGGGTGACATCCTAACTCCTCCTCCTCCTCTTCCTCCTCCTCCTCCTCCTCCTCCTCCTCCTCCTCCCCATTGTTATCATCATTCACATGTTCTCACTCCTCTGCTATTACCCCATCCCCTCCCCTGGAACCGTCATCGCGATCACCATCGGACTCAGCATCAAGAAGAGCAAGTGCTTGGAGTCCATGGTCGAGCGTGTCCGCTCCCGTCGATTGATCCTGCTTGTTGTTCAACGCATACACTGCTTCGCCAGAGCCCTCACCAACCACGAGTAGGGTCCCAGTCGATCGCCTCGACACCACGCCATCTAGCACCGCGGCGTAATCGGCCGAGTCGCCGAAGCCGTCGAGGATGAAATGTGTCTCGACCTCGTGGACGCGCAGCTTCGACTTTTGCCAACACTGGCTGTTGGTGGCGTCGCCGCGCGAATACGTCAGCATGCACCTCCAGTCGCCCTCGGCCGCCTCGTCCAATAGAAGCCGATGCAAACAATATCGAATGTGTTTTCTCGAAGCTGCCATGAGAGACCGTCGCAAATCTATCTCCTTATCACAAATGGTCGTTCGATGCATGTCCTCCCCCAAGGCTAAGCCGAGGGAGGCGGCCCCACCGTTGCTCAGAACCCGTTTGAGTGCGAGCGTGAGGCCACCCCTCAATGTGAAATGGCTCCTCGCGGAATCATGTTTGCGAAGCCGCTTTGCATCTCGATCTTTCTCTAACTGTTCAACTTGACTCTTGCGTTTGACGGCCAACTTTTTCTTCCTGGAGAAACATTGGTGATGTTTTTTATATCCAAGTCTGAGCCTTTTGTTTGCAGCTTTCAAACGTTCTATTTCTTTATTTGCAACATCAAGATCATGTTTGACAACATCAAGCCCCGCCTGCACGGTATCTTCCATGGGTGACGGGCCCCCGTCGTCAGGCGCATCGGCCGCTTGACCACGGGGCTGCGGTTGCCTGGACAGTGACACGAGCTCCAATATTTTATGCCGAACGCGACCCCAGTCAAACATAGAAGGACCAATTCCGAAAATATCTTCAACCACTGATGCCACCACTGCAAGTCTGAAGTAGCCGTCATGTGAATGATGCGCACAAACACTGTCCAATTGAAATATCAATTCGCCATTCCTTGCCAGGAAACGGCCCAGATTGAAATT